CAATAATTTCATTAGACTTCTCGATCAATTTATTTCTGTATTTCATTAACTGAAAGTTAAGAGTTTCAACTTCTGCTTTATAAGTATCATGCTGACAAAATTTAGAAATGGCTGACTTGTCATTTGGTGGATTTATGTCAATATTTACATTATCTTTATATTTATTGAGCTCTATATCATTTGATTGGCTAGATGGCAGTATTGATTTTTTGAAAGATCGTTTTTTACATAAAGCTTTATAGCAATCTTTTCTCTTCCTTTTTTTAATCAAACTAGAAATTGGAGCAGCTCCAAGGTGATTAAATACAGATGGACTTCAGTCAACGTCAGATGGGTCATCAGAACATTTCCCTAAAATTTAATAAGTTCTTTATGCAATTGGCATTATGTAATTAAATTAATAAATGTACCTAATTTAAAGAGTCTTTAAACGTATTACTACGTATATAATTTTATTAGCTAACCTCATTCATTAAAAGAATATACTGATACAAAATGTGCACTGCATACTCATTCTTTACTAATTTTTTCACTTTCCCAACTGTCCCAATCCTTACGATTAATAGCTTTAATCCAGTCTATACGTCTTCTTTTCTCAAAAGGCAATTTTCCTGATGGAAATTTATAAAATTTTAATCCACATTCTTTTTTAAATTTTTTTGAACAACCAACTACACAACAACTGGTTGGCATAATTTATTTCTAGTTAAATTAGTGAATCAGTGAATAAATAAGAATCAGTGAATAAATTTAACATAAATATCTCAATGTTTATACTAGAAAATTTCCCATTATTTGTTTTTCTACCTACAAGTTTGCGCGCCCATCTTTTTTCGAAAACGAGAATGTAAACATTCGAAACTCATTTATGAAAGAGCCAAGTTCTTTTTAAACTTAAATCATGCCCAAAGTAAACCAAAATATTAAACATAAAAAACCATCTCCACTATTTAACTGTTTCAATATATCTTTCAAAAATATTCATGGTCTGCAAAGTAACCTTTTATCAGTTGAATCTTACCTCTTGTAAAATTTCCCAGACTTACTCTTTGTGAAACTAATTTAAATTTGGCTGTTCCTTCTTTAGATCTCAGTATTGATAGGTTTTATCTATTAATTCGCAAAGACTCTAATAGTCGCATGCTTTACTTGGGCAAATACTTACCCATCAATTCACCTATTTTTCAAGAAATCAGATTTGATTCACGTGATCATTCTTTCATGTGTTTCCACTTAGCACCTTTGTTTGTCTTTGTTTTTTATTGTTTTCTTTCTTCTCAAGACTGTACTCTTTTAGATGTAATTTTTGATCAAGTTGACAATGTCCTTTTTCTTTGCCCTTCTGCCAATATTCTTATTTTTGGTGATTTTAATGCTCATCACACTGAGTGGCTTGGCTCTAACACCACTACCTCTGCTGGCACTTAAGCCTATAACTTCTGCAATTCTTAATCTCTTACTCAGATAGTTAACTTCGTGACTCATTTTCCTTACAGCTCAATCATTTACCTTCACTCCTTGATTTGTGTTTTGTCTCTGACCCTAGCTTATGTTTCTCCTTTTTCTCCCACATACTTCTTCTTCAGACTCATTCTCTAATTGCACCATATACTATTACATTAAAACTGACTAGAATTCTTTTCGTGATTTTTTTTGTGATGGTCCTAGGGTTGATATCTTCTCTCTTTCCGCTGATGAATGCACTTCCTACATAATCTCTTGGATCCAGGGCAGAATGGAAGCTTTTATTGCTTCTTTTTGGTTCCAAGTCAAGCCTCATTCTACTCCTTAGCTTTCACCTTTTTGTGCAGTTGCTGTATCTAATCATAATCATTTGTTTCATCTTATTTGAAAAAACAACTCTCTTGAGAAAAAAGGCTATTGCAAAAAATCAAAGTAAAAAGGTGCTGTCTGATGCTCCATTGTTCTCAGTTCACTGTATTCAGTTCTTGTATTTTAAAGTAAAAAAAATAGACCTTTTTTTTCTTTGCTTCCAACAAGTTTGAGTAAGAAAGTGTTGAGCTCGATATAGAGATACAACCTTAGCAGATGCTAGTTTTGCAACAGGTTTGATGTATGGTTTCCAAGAAAAATTGGAAGTAAGAGTTAATCCTAAAAGATGAAGGGTAGATGACTCATTAAGTACATTACTGTTCATAAATATAGGAAGATCTAAATAATTGCAATAATGAATTGCTGAAAAAAATTGAGTTTTATCTGAATTAAAGTTCACCAGCCACTGTGAGCCCCATGCTGTAGCAGAAGTGAGATTCTTTTTAAACTGAAATGTCCCTAGGAAGCAATCAGAGAGTGTTGGCTTCTTATCATGACAAGAACAAATGGTTGTATCATCAGCAAACAATGCCCCTTAGATGTGAGAATATCTAGAAGATTATAAATGTGAATTAAAAAGAGTATAGCGCCAAGGATTGAACCTTGAGGAACCCCTGAAGTTACAGAATATGAGGAAGAGTGTGGTCCATCGAGAACAACTTTTACACTACGATTGGAAAGTAAGGATTCAATAATCTTAAAGATTTTACAAGATACACCGTAAGAAGAAATCTTATGGAGAAGGAAAGTTTTTTGAAAATCTTTAACAATGTAATTGAAAAAGGTAGGTCTAACATTCCATCTCTCATTCATGGAATCTTATTACCTCTCACAAAGAATCTTATTACCTTCACCCTGGAATATAATGGAATGGAATAATACTGTTATCATATTTGGGCTACTTCTTCTAATGATGCTCTTTCTCTTCTAGACAAGGTCCAATAGCACATTGTAAACATAGTTGGATCTACTTTATCTGCCAAGTTTGAACTTCTCTCATCTTTATAAAGTTGCATCTCTTTCTTTTTTTTACAAATACATATTATGGTCGCTACTCAAAGGAGCTATTAACTCTAGTTCCATCAACTTAAAGTCATTCTTGCTTGACTCATCATTTAGTAAAGTCTTGTTTTTTTATTTTTATTTGTCTAGTTTGTTTCCATGCACTTCAACCTTTTGGAGTTCTCTCCCATCCAAATGTTTTTTAGACTCATAGAACCTACAACATCTTAAGTTTTTGTCAACTGTTTATTTGCTCTTTAATTTAATTCATTTTTTCTAGTAACTCCCAACTTAATAGTGGTTGCTTGCAGCCTTGTTGGGAGTGAATCAGAATTAAAAAAAAAAAAACTTTAAAATCGTAATTTTTACAGTAATATAATTGTGTGTATGTAGGCACACAGGCACAAACACACACACACACACACACACACACACACACACACATACAGGGGTGGGACCGCAAAATGTGAACACTTTTCTGATTGTAATAATTAATTTTCTGTTAAATATGAACTATTTTAAATAAGAATGTCCAATGGTTGGACATTCTTATTTAAAATAGTTCATATTTAACAACTCTTTAGACACTTTCTGATGAGTGAGAGAGTACAACTACATCTAACGAGAAAATAGTTATAATAAAACAAAAACGTTCACATTTTGCAGTCCCACCCCTGTATATATATATATATTAGGTGCTAGCAATTTTTGGTATTAAGTTGCTTCAAGCTAGAGTTTTTTCTTTTTTCATTTCTTTATAAGAAAATAAGAGTAAAAGAAATAAGTAAAAAAAAAAAAAAAGTAAAAAAATCCAAAGTTAGTAGCTATCTTATTTGAAAAATAAGTTTGAAAAATCATCATAAATAATTCGTTTTAAAGATGCCTTTTTTTGTAGAATTGCAAAGAAATGCATCATTAAAAATAAGTAAATGTAAACAAAACTAAAACTTTCCAGCGGTTGATTAATTATTTTTTTATAAAATTGCAAAGAAATGCATCATTAAAAATAAGTAAACGCCAACAAAATTAAAATTTTCCAGTGGTTTATTAATTTTTTATAGAATTGCAAAGAAATGCATCATTAAAAATAAGTAAATGTCAACTAAACTAAATCTTTCCAGCGGTTTTTTATTAATTTTTTCTGGATTAAGTTAAAGCAAAAAAGATGAATTTTTTTTAACTCAAAAACAAAAATATCTTTTTTTAATCTAATTGTCTATCTAAACCCAAATAAGTTTCAACATTTAAAATCATGTTTATTAATAAATGTTTTTTAAAAGTTTATCTAATATGGCTTTTATGCGGAGTCCTAAAAGGGACTTTACATCCCTGATTTTATGCAGGGATGCAAAAAAAAAAAGCAAAATCTGGAATCCCTAAAAGGGACTCTAGATTTGAAAGTCACAAAAAGATTACTTATACTAGTTTTTGGTATCCAAGAGCTTTAAAAATATAAAAAAGCTTATGAATTTTATAATTTGTAAAAAATTAGAGCTTTTAGGTTAGAAGAACAATCAATTTTAGAATCTGGAGTCCTTAGGTATAATGACGGGAACGATTCAGCTTAAAAACGATATGTTCCAGCTCATTTATTCATCTCATGAATTTTTTTCTTATAACAGGTCATAAGTCAACCAACATGTTTGGACACCAAAGACTAGGAAATATAAAACTGGAATCCTTTTGGGACTCCGCATCCCTTCTTTTATATAAAACTATCCATTTTTATTGGACCCAAATGTTAAAAAATTACAAAAATTTAAAAATGAATTAAATACGTTTGATTGTATATAAAAATATGCAGAAAATATTTTACATCAACACTCGTTTTAAAAATTCATTAATTATAACTCGCTCTAGTTAATGTTTTCATAATTAATTAAATGTAAAAAAATATGTTAATTAAAAAATGATTTTTTAATTAAAAGAATTAGGAGGGCTTGCAACTTTCAAATTTTGTAAATTATAGTTTTATGATCTAATAAAGGTACTCCTGCTTGAAGCAATTCATTTTTTTTTTAAAAAAAAAAAAGAAAATGGTGCCTAATTATATATATATATATATATATATATATATATATATATATATATATATATATATATATATATATATATATATATATATATATATATATATATATATATATTTAATATATATTTGAAAGTGCTAAGATTCCTCCTTTCACTCTGGCATATGAAGTTTTAAAAGATTTACCTGAAGAAAAAAAAGAAGTAAACTTTTTCATTTAGTTTAAATTTGAATTTTGTTTAATTTTATTTTATTTTTTTTTAATGTCATTTTAAACTTTTTTTTTTTTTAGTTGTCTACTGTACTTAAATGATTAATAAATATGCTAAAGTATTTTTTTACTAATGTTTCAGCCCCATGACTCAACTCCAGACCTTTTGGACTATTGTAAATTAGTTTTCAATGAAGTTATGCAACTTAGTAAGAACTTTGTTATATTTCTTAACTGTCTTGAAATATAAACTTATAATATGTTTTTTCAAGTAAAAATTTTGTATTTCAAAAATTTGCTGATTTAAAACTTTAAGAAAACTACTAGTTATTGATTTTTTGATAGAAAGAGGAAATTGTAATTAGACTTTTAATTGAAATTGATTTTTTTTTTCTATAACTGTTTGCTTCTAAATTTTTTTTATGTATTTTTATTCATTTATTTTTTTCATTTATGTTTTTATTATAGTTTTATTTAAGAGCTAATTATTGTTATTCATTCAAAAGTTAAAAAAAATTTTTTTTTTAATTTTTATTGACGTCACTTATTCTTGAGTTCAGGTTTTTCTTTTTTTTTTTTTTAATTTTTTTTAATTGCGCTTTTCTCGAAATACGTAATTAAGGCGTTTTGAAAAACGGCTGCAATATATCAAAAACAAAGAAAAGAAGCAATTTAAATGAAAACTTTAGAAGGTTGCTCATAATGAAACAAGTTGATTAATTAAAATTTAACATATATAGCTTATATATTCCTGGGTAACACCCTGATGTAATGGGTACAATTATTGTTTTTTAGAATGTAGTTTTTACAATTCATTTAATGAGCATTCAGATTACAAAATATTTGAAAAATGGTTGCAATGTTACTGTCAACCAAATATGAGCAATTTAGTTGATAAAGATGGAAGGACTATCTGGTTTGAAGTATTGTTTTTTAGTTGTATTATCATTTTAGTTTCATTTTATAACTTTTTACATTAATAGCATTTTGAGCGGGATTTTAATTTTTTCTATTTTTCATTATTTATTCATTTTGTTATTTATTCAGAAATAGTTATCACTCTTTTTTTATTTTATTTTTACTTTTTGTATACACTTTTTTGGCAGGGTTCTGCTGGACCGTTAGCTCCTAAAGGTAAGGATTTACTCAACTTTTATTTACTTTTAATTTCAAATAAAAAAATGCAAGTAAAGAAAAACATTGTTTGAGGTTCTTTTTAAAAACTAAAATTTAGAAATATAAATCCAATAACAAGTGCTAACAATAGAATTTTAATATGTCAACATACTATTGAAACACTTTTAAAAAGCTTCTACTGGTTTATATATATATATATATATATATATATATATATATATATATATATATATATATATATATATATATATATATTATATATATATATATATATATATATATATATATATATATATATATCATTATCTATATATTTGTATCTTAGTCGGAGACTTTTATGGTTAAAAAAAGTCTCTTTTAACAACATATTACTTTCAACAACATTACAACTTTCAACAGTAATTTTAATTTCATCCAAAATTTAAAACAAATAAAATAATATGGAAACTATATTTAGTTTTATCTGCTCAGCGCTGCTACATCGACTATCTTATAGCCTGCTACTACAAGGGATTGCTGCTACATCAACTATCTTATAGCCTGCTGCTATGAGGGAGTGCTGCTACATCGGCTGATGGTTTGGTTTGGGCAAGCAAACTATCATTTAGAAAAAAACTTTATTCAAGTTTTTAAACTTTTTCTGGTCTGGTTTATTAGTGTTCTCTTTGAAACTACAGTTCACAAAAGAAACTTTTTGACTACCAAGCATGACTGTTCATTTTTGTTTTATTGACTGATTAGCAAAAATTTGAAGCTTTTAAATAAAAATCAATTTTTTCAAATTTATTGTACAAAAACTAAAATTTCTAAACAAAAGTAAAAAAAAACAAACACTTTTAACACTTTTTTTATAAGACATTTTAAACTAATATTTTTAACAATATCTTTCTTTAGAAAAATTTCAACCTTTGTGACCACAGTAGAAACAAAATTTTGTAAAAATATTTTTAGTCATAATCCTACTGTACATACACGTTACGTTAGACTTCCACTTTACATGTTACATTTTCACTTTAAGGTCATGAAAAGATATATAGCACCTCAGAGTTGCATCTGCTGGACATTTTATTAGTTGTAATTTTTTAGTTCAGACTATTTCTAGGGCTCAAATGCATAATGGGCTTTTTTTCTACTTTTTTTTATAAGTTCACTTATGAGCATTTAAGCATGTTCTAAAATAAATTTAGATATTTTTTTGCCTTTTTTTATTGATTTTATTCATCAATTTAATTTACATTTGTAAAATAAAATAAACAAAAGATTGTGTTTTTATACATAGATTTATATGCTAGAATTATAAATTGTAAATTTTTTGATGACTTTAACTTAAATTGGTTTTGTATATTGTATAAATCATATATTAATGATAAACTTGTTCCATTAATTTAATTTTTTTATTTAATGTATTAATGTAATTAATTAAAGATATTTATTTTAGATTTATTCATGGCAGAAAAAAGTAAGAAAAACATTGACACTAGTTTTCTTATTAGGATGCCTAGGTCATTTTAGGTTTAAGTTGAAGAGGTTTTGCAAAAAGTTTTGCATAACCTTCCATTTAAGGGAGGAGGTTATGCAAAACTTTCTAAAAAAAAAAGAAAGTAATAGTTATCCTCTGTCCACTGGCAATCCTAATAGACCTTATAGATCTGATATTTTTGTCATTAGGACATCACTTGATGTCCTAATGACAAAATCAGTTCCTGCTTTCTTTCAAAGTTAATTTTACCTTGAATGAGGGGAGGATTTTAGAACTTGCAATTACAAACAGGCTAGTAGGTATCAGATTGTATAAATAAATATTTTTTCATTTATATATTATTATCTTATTGTGTTAGCCCGAGCTGATGAAAACTGTAGAGAAAGAAGAGATATTGCTTAGCAACTATACAACTATGACTTTCATAGGGTGGATGAATATACATTAGTCCATGGGAATGCCAACATGAAGGTCCTAATTCTTTGGACTTTAATGAACAGAAGCTTCCCAACTTACTTTCACAGTCGCAAAAAATTCATGGCTCTTGTTTCTTATAAAAAACCAAAGTAAAATTGTCAATTGAAGACTCCCACCCTAGAATATTGGACTTGTATTGTATCATATTCTACCTAAAGTTTTGGAAGCTCATTTATTATCTTTATCGTATTATGAGAAAGGAAGACAAGACAGGATTCATTCCTATTTCTTTATGCCAGTAAAAGGAACTATAAAGCGTATACTATAAAGTACTATAAAGTATAAGGACTTAAAGCGTATCTGCATAGTTACTACAAACTGTAGAATAGCAGAAATCGGAAAAAATTGCATTAATTTGCAATTTTATAGTCAGATTTGATTTAAAATATTTTAACTAAATATAATTACCACGCATTTTTATTTAATTATTCTAATAAGAAAAAATTCTCTCATAAAAAAAGTCTAGTCCTTAAAAAAAATTTTTTGAGGATTAGAATTCATTAAAAAAAAACAAAGTGTAAAAAAGCTCATCAATCCATTTGAGCTACACCTAAAAAGTGTTAAAATTTAAAAAAATCTCTACTAACAAAATAAGGTTTTGCCTAGCAAATGGAACTCTATGGTACTTTATATCTTTTCATTGCCATACATACATACATATACATACATATGAATATATATATATGTATGTATGTATTTAATATATATATATACATATATATATATATATATATATATATATATATATATATATATATATATATATATATATATATATATATATATATATGTATATATAGTATATTTTATTATTAGGATCAAAAGCAATTTCTCGTCATAAAACATCTAAGGTTAGTTAAATTAATGAAAATTTTATTTGCTAGTTTGCACTTTGTATAGTTATATAAAACTTAATTATATAAAACACGCTGATGCACAGTTTTGAAGATTTTTATTGTATAGATTATCAACTTTGTTTTACAAACAAAAACGTTTTCTACTGGCGAATAGATTAAGACTTAAATAAACAATAGCTTTTGTGTTTGAATCTAGAAGGTTTTCTGTTAAAGTAATTTTCGTTGTTGTTTTTATTAGTTTAACATTCAACTAATTTCATAAGAAAATTTTTTGACGTTTTGTTTGTTTTAACATAAGTGTAAATCTTTCTTAATTTTTATAACTTTTTTTATTTTATACAAACTGTATTGATCTAACATTGACATGACTTGACGTGTGTTTGATTTATTTTATCTAACCTGTTCCATAATAATGTTATGAATAAGGATTTGATAATTGAAGGATGGTACGCGGTAGTTAATATGGTACTAGGATGGTTTATTTTGTTGAATGTGGTATCCGAATGGTGTGTGCTCTAAGGACAGACTTTCACATATTGTGCAAAAAAAATAGCACTCTCACCAAGATAAATTTCCACTTTTTGAAAGAAATTATTTTCACGTAACTAAAGATTTTATTAGAATTTTCAATTTTAACACCGTTTATTTTCTATTGTTTGCATCCGAAATGGTAGAAAAGTTTAAATCAACAAAGACAATGTACTATAACATGCACATGTCACACACTTTATAACGTTTTATAAAAATTGTTTCTCAAAGAAAAACAAGTGTTAAAGAAAAATTACACGAAATTATCTCTTATTATGGAAATATAAACTCCTGAAAAGTGCATACACTCATATAGATTTTTGTATTGTCATTGTTACTGATTATTATTCTGCATATAAAGTAAGGAATTACGGTTGTTGCTCTCTAGTAGTCGTTAAAGTAGTATATCGGATGTTTGATATTTTGTCATTCCAAAATGGGAACACTCTGCATCTATAAGGTAATGCTTGTTTCATGGAGATTATTCTTGTTTAGAATTCGAAAAATGTTTGTTTTACTAAGATTATTCTTGGTTAGAATTCAAAAAATGTTTACTTTATGGAGATTATTCTTGTTTCACGGAGATTATACTTGTTTTATGGAGATTATTATTGTTAAGAATTCTAAAAATGTTTGTTTTATTGAGATTATTCTTGTTTAGAATTTGAAAAATGTTTGTTTTAGTAGTCTGCATTGTAGATTATTCTTGTTTAGAATTCGAAAAATGTTTGTTTTATGGAAATTGTTCTTGTTTTATGGAGATTATTCTTGTTTAGAATTCGAAAAGTGTTTGCTTTATGTAGATTTTTCTTGTTTTATGGAGATAATTATTGATTTAAGGAAAATACTCTTGTTTTATAGAGAATAGTCTTGTTTAGAATTCCAAAAAAAAAACAGAAGTAATACGTGCAAAGAAAATAAAAGAGAATTCAATAGAAATAACCGAATCGAAAATTCGAAAGAAGAAAATAAAAGTAACAAAAAAAATAAAGAATATTTTGCAAGATACCAACTTGTCGCTGAGAAGATCTTCTCGTATTAAAAAGAAGTAGACCGAAAAAATGCTAGTTTTTTATAATTAGGTTAAATAGACTATTATTTCAACTGTGCATAAAGTTGCATTATTATATGTTACATTGCGTTAAAAAGTTAAGTTAAATTGATTTTTTGTTTCATTTGATAAAAAAACACATTACAATAAATATATTTATACGTTTTTATCGAAACTTATGAACGATTGTTGGCATTTTATTACAACAGATGAAAAAAATATTTTGTTTTATTCAAATTTTTAAAAAGTATTTTCTAAAGAATTATCAATTTAAACTTTGCCAATATAAAATTAACATGTGATTAGTTTTATTTCAAAGTAATTAATATTGATAGATAACTAAATTAATGTTCTTTTTAAAATTTTGCCTTGTTTTAAATATTTTTTGACTCTAATATATTTATTTTAAATATTATTCGACTCGATTATAATTTAATATCAGATAACATAATAATTTAAGTTTGAATTGAGTTGGTTTAGTTAGAGTTTTTAGTTTAAAATTATAAAATAATGATTTTTAATAATTCTTCCTGCTTTGGGTTTGAAATGTTTTGAATAATATCAAAAGAGTTGATCGATCAAACTAAAAAAGTTCATCAATCATGAGAAGATATTTTGTAGACTCTTAGATGGTATTTCACAAAACAAACTAATTAGTCATATCGCTTATTTTTATTGTTTTACAAATTTGTAAAACGTTATGTAGATTTTTCGAAAACGGTACGGAATCGAAAATTTAATTTTGTAATAAATTTAAATAATAAGGAATAAAATAATTTTAACCTAACTAAAGAGCTACAAAATCTTTACTTTTAATTTTCCCACCTTACACCTATTACATCCCACCTTACAGTAATTTCTTAACCCTAGCTAGTTTTTCATTCTAATTGATTTAAAGTAGAAACCCCGTGATAATTTTTTTTTTTTTGAGTAAATATTATTTTATAAATTTAATAAAATGGTCCTTTAGCCGGTGCTAAAACCAAAAAATATTGAAAGTAGGAGAGACCGTGGCTAGTCGTAACAGGGGTAAGTTGCAACAATGTGATAATAAAATAATGATAAGTAAAAAAAAATCTTTAAACACGAAAATCTAAAAATAAATTAGATTAATCAGGAGTAGATAATTATATACATTAGATTGATCATCAAGCTTGGACTGGGCCGCCCGGACACTGGGAGGTTCCCGGTGGGCCGGTTGCCCCAAAAGTAGTTATATTTTTAGTTAAGTTACATTTTATTTCCCGTTGATTATTATAATCAACGGTAAATTCAAATGTAACTAAAAACATAATAACTTTTTTTTGGGCTCTAATTACAGGCTAATACATCTGCCAGGTAATTATATAAATTTTTAGCTGAACGAAAGTAGTATTATATTAACGTAAACAAACCAAATTAGTTAACAAATGTTAAACTATTTATTTTATAATATAATTTTGTATATCTTTTAATATGTTGTTTTTATGTATTATTCACTGACAGAAAAGTCACAGATTGGTATTATTGATAATATTTTGTTTTTATAAATTATGTTTGTTGCACTATGTGTTTTGTTGATTGCACATCGAAATTTTGTCGGCGAGTGTTAAGTATATGAACTCAATGGCGGATTTAGGTAAAAGCTAACATAGGCTGCAGCCTACGAGAGACACGAGGCCCTTTTTTTTACTTTTTTACGGTTTCATCCAAATTAATTTGTCTCATAATTATTCACATGTTTAGTATTCGAAATTCGAATACTATTTATCATTATTTTGTAAATAAATAATTAAGTTTATCATTATTTTGTAAATGAATAAATAATCAAGAAACATAAATTATTGACTTTTTGTAAATTGATATGTTACAAAAATTTCATGATATTTCTATAATGACAAATTCTATAATGACGTCCGTTACAGAGCGAAAGCTCTTTTAGATTCATTGACAAGTTTTAAATTTATTTTGATGGCGTAATTGTTTTTAAATGTTTTGAGCACACAATGCCAATGTCTGAATATTTAAAAACAACTGGAATGGATATACTAGGAGTCTATAAGATGGTTCAAGACAGTATTAATGAATTAAGCAAAGTAGATAGAAATTTTGATTCCATTTTTCAAGCAGCTACAAATTTCTCAGAGCTTGTAAACAGTGAACTGGGAAAAAGGAATATCGACAATGAAGTTCAGACTGGTTTGAAAGAGAAAAGAATAAAAGCAAACCAACTACTTGAAAGCGCGAATGATAAATTTCGTTTCAATGTTCACAACATAGTAATGGATCAAGTAATCAGTAGTTTAAAATAGAGATTCTTAGAGCATGGTAGTCTATATGCTGATTATGCTGTTTATTAAAAAATAAAAATGGTAGTCTATATGCTGCTCTATCTTGTTTAGATCCAAAAAATTTTGCAGAAATTTTGAAAAAAAATGCCTAGTGACACATTGCAGAGATGAGTGGTTTGCTCAGAAAATTTGATGCTTTTGTAAGAAAAGATCAGCATCAAACGGAATTTGCAAGGAAATGGGAGAGTTTCGAAATAACTCTTGAAGATGAGCGCATTTTGCTATTTGACACGGAAGTATCTGATTCTCGGACAATTTCCAACAATCTAAATCCGTAGAATTTGAAACTGTCTTTACAATCCCAGAAATGGAAAACAACGACATATACAGAAATAAATGCAAATCTTGCAAAAAATGTATTGTTTGTTATTACTTTGTTCTCCAAAAGTTCAACTTGCATAGCTTTACGTATTCAAACTTGTTTATATATATATATATATATATATATATATATATATATATATATATATATATATATATATATATATATATATATATATATATATATATATATATATATATGTATATATATATATATATATATATATATATATATATATATATATATATATATATATGTATATATATATATATATATATACATATGTATATACATATATATGCAACATACAATGAAGTGGGCCGCCATGACCAAAACTTTCCCGGGCCGTTTTTCAAGCCAGTCTGACCCTGGTGATCAAGACGCTTACGGGGTAAGTTTTTTCAAATTACTTGGGGTAAATTGAATTATAAAATAACTGCGGGATTTATTGATTTTCACTTTTCTAGTTATTTCTAAAGTACGTTTTTTAACGAAAAAATTTGTTACAGAAAACGAAACTCTGCTAATGCTTCTACATTACAAAAAAAAAAAAAGTTAAGAAAATATTGAGTCGAAATTTAATTAATTCTTTAACACTTGTTTTTTAATGAAAATTTATTGCTAGCAAATTCTTTTTTGGTTGTTATCTATATTTTTGTTGTTTTTTTTATGTAATTTTGTTAAACATTTGTTTGATTTTTTTATCTTTAAGTTTTTCTTTTAAATAAAATGTCATTTTATTTTTATATCTTAAAAAAAGAACTTAAATATTCTAAAAACTTAGAAGTTAAAATAATAAATTAGTTTAAATAATAATCCTTGTTATTTATTTTTTTCGGTCTTTGAAACAGTGGCGCCAATTCAATTTTTTGGTCTTTGAGATTGACCAGTTAATAACTTGAATCAGTTAATAAAATGTTTTTTGTACTATTCTTAACTAGACTTATATTCACCGATAAATTTTAAGTTTCGTAGTAAAATATTTTAGCGTTCAAAAATTATGACCATATAAAGTTTAAACAACCCTCAATTTGAGAGTACTGCAAATTTTATATTGTATAAACATATATATGTTTGGAGTTTGCTCATAGACCAAAAAATTGAATTGGCGCCACTGCTTTGAAACCTTTGTAAGTATCAGTATAAACAGGTCGTGTGAATGTGTCTTTCATAATAAGTCTTAAAAAGTCTTTCATAATAAAAACATTTGTGTGAGTGTTAAATCTCTCATAATAAATGTATTTGTGTGAATGTAAAGTTTCTCATAATAAAAGTATTTGTGTGAATGTAAAGTCTCTCATAATAAATGTATTTGTGTGAATTTAAAGCCTCCCATAATAAAAGTATTTTTGTGAATGTAAAGTCTCTCACAATACAAGTATTGCAGCTCAAAAAAAAAGAAAAAACAAACAAAAAAGACAAATAAATAAACAAAAAAAAAAGCCAGTAATATTATTCATCATACTTATGGATTTGAATAAATAAATTTAGTATTAAACAATTATTAAAATTAAATTGTTAAACATAATTGTTATGCTGAAAATTATTAATAATAGTACTCTCATTTAAAGGCTTTAGAAGAAATTTAGCTCATTGTCGTTTCGTAAAAGATTTTGCTTGAGTTTAGTTTTAAATTAATTAAGTGAAGAAAGTGTTTCAAGATCATTATTTAAAAGTGTATTCCATAATTTAGGACCTCGGTTTGTGATTGAGTATTTGGTGGCAGAATAATAGGTTTTGGATTGAGTATAGTTATTTTTTGAAAATCTGGTGCTGTATATATGATTTATTTTTTTAAATAAAGAGTTGAATAAAAGTGGTGCCATTTTTTGATCAAGTTTAAACATAAATATAAGAATATGATAGAGATTTAATTTAAAAACATTTAGAATATTAAGTTTGCTAAAAAGTATTTTTGTATGAGAGAAGCGATTTTCATTTGTAATAATCTTAATGGCATGATTTTGTTTGCAGAGAAGTTTACTTAGTTTATAAGTTAATTGCGAAATTTAACAAATTTTCTCTGCAAAACAAGATTTTTTTTTGAGGTATTTTGTGAAAATTCTTATTTTTTTGTGACAATTCTAAAAAAAAACTATTTTTCTAAATTAGATAAATATCGGTTTTCGGTATGTTTTTCAACCGAAATTTCGGTTTTTACTGAATTTATAAAAAGTACCGAAATCGAAAATTTGGTATCGGTTTAAATAGAATTTCGGTCGATCACTAGTTTGGAATAAAGGTCTGTGTTCTACTTTAAAGTGTAAATTAAATAAAGCTAAGAAACGATTTCCAATGTTAGTTTCAACATTTTTGCTAAACGGGGGTAGTACCATACGATCTTTTGTTTGGAATGTTTTTTTTTTTTACTTTTGATTCTTTGAGGTTGGTATTTGAGTTTTAAGCTGTATCATTATTTTTATTAAAGTTTTTTAAAACAGTCGCATGGAATTAGCAAAATCAGTTTAATTTAATAACATGGTCAATAATCTTAAATCAATTATGCAAGAGATTTCTTTTATTATGTTAAGTGGACGAATTTACCCGTACGTGTGGTAATTCCGAACATACCGTGGGGTAATCGCTATTGGCTAATAGCGAATAAAATGTTGATCAAAGCAAATCAAACTTGATTTAAGCGTTAAAACATTATTGAATAAAATTTTAAACAAATTAAACGTTAAAGAAACAAGTATCAATAAATTTTATTCAAACCAAATAAAATGTTACATGAATAAAATGCCAAATATCAATAAATGTTATTCATAAATTGTTACATCCATTAATTAACTGCAAAAATCACAGAGAAAACCTCTGGATGTGCTTGCACAGCTTGTGCGCTCCTCGTGGGACCACGACTTACATTTGTAACACATAATCTAGTCTTCCGTGGGTGGATCATGATACATTTGAATGAATACATGAAATTAATCTTCTGAACATGCTGAAGCTTTTTAGTCTTTTATATTTATGATTTAGTAAAAAAAACTAATCTATTTATTATATTTAAGAAGCTTCACCTTCTCTGTAAGGTGACCAGAATGCTTTATGATAATATAGTATCAGAAAGTGTGTGTGTGTGTGTACTTTTACCTTCTGTATACAAAAGGTAAAATTTTACCTTCTATATACAGAAGATAAAAGTACGAGTTGAATGCAAAATTACATAAGTGTTTTTTACTAATTTATTAGTACACACACACACACACACACACACACACACACACATACACACATACACATACACACACACACACACACACTTTAATAAATATTTTCTTAAATAAACAACTTTATTTAAGAAACGCCCGTGTGTGAACAGATACGCTAGAATACTTTGAGAAAACAATAAGCGTTCGCGATACCCCCACTAAGATCGTTCCCTATTTCCCGCGATCTAACCAAATGAAATTAAACAAATATATTGAGGTAGTATTATCATACCCTAAATATAATACGTGTTACAAACTCCATGGTTATGATACTTTGCAACAACATAAATAAATGCGTGGTTTTATATGCATAGTATAGCCAATGCATAAATGTTTCGCAAATAAAAATTACATGAAACTAAGAGAAAAACTTAGAATCAATCTATCGTGAACAACCTGCGCATCTATACTACACTACTCCACGTCTGGAACTGAGCATGGAACCCTCTCTCGTCAGAAAAAAAAAGATTGTCAACTATCCTTTTCTAACATGCCGTAACGACCTTGTTCGGAGTTACCCCGCGTTCGCCATTACCCGGCTCTTCCCTATTGACACAATAAGCGTTTACTAAACTAAAAATTTTCAATTT